GCGACTACGGTGAAGATGATGTCCTAGACCGTAGCGACGTTGACGAAGCTGCTCGATGTTGGAGGTCATCCAGATTGAGAGTACTGGTCTCCAGGTAGCTATCCATGGGTGACTCCATACTAGAAGTTTCGCAGCTGTTTGGAGGTGACATGATTCCGAAGGTCTTCTCCAGTCAGGTTGCGACTGGAGATGACTTCATATTTTGGTGTACATGAAGGTGATGGGCGAGAGCCAGCTCCTGCTTATAGAGGAACATCTTGGGTATCTTCCGCCCTGGTACTCGTATCCACGTCCTCTGTCTGGGCTGCAAAAACTTTGCTGATATGTGACTCGGTCAAAGTGACTTTTTTTGGCCACCCCTGTATATTATGTACTGGCTACCAGCACAGAATGACGGCCGCTTACTCAACCCCGCGGAGACGCAGCCCAACGACCACCAGTGAATCGGCAACATCTCTAGGCTACACCTAGCTAAAAACTGCCATGCTCCGCACCAAAAAGCTGTGCGCAAGATTAGCTTCTTGCCCTAGTTACTAATGGTGATTACTTTGTAGTCAGAGTGTTGTTTAGCTGGGTAAAATTTCGTTCGCGATTCCTGGCCAAAGTTTTGCAGTACGTTTGTCAACCTAATACTTGTAGCGGTGTCGTTATTAATCAGTTGATATGCTGGTACTGTTCTAATTTGAGATCTTTCTTCGAACTCTGAGATCGATTAGTCATTAAACAATCAACCACAAGTATATTGAACTGTTCAATGAAATCTGTTTTCATGTTCACCTTGCTTGAAACCTGGGGATACTCGCTTGAAGGAACGGTCCGCGATGTCTATGAAAATGCAGAAGACTGTTATGGGAGGGTAGTGTGGTCCGCAGTGGACAACCTTGTGCCAGTTTTGCGGCCGTATGCTATAAGGTGTAGGAGTCAAAGGATAAAGGATAAAGTCTTCGCCGTTGATCAATCCCTTTGTGGGATGCGGCACGCATTCTACTTCCATTCAGAATCGTAGTGGCTTATTGAATGCGATGTGGCCTATACAATGACTTGCGGGCCAGCCGATGTACAAGTCAGTGTTTTATCCTCCCAGACGAATCTGGTACCAATTTACCGTCCCCGGGGGGGGGGGGTAGAAGGCTTGGTTGGCCTGGGCGGGAGTCGACCCGGGATTTGAACCCAGGACCGCGCGAGTGGAGCGCGCCACTTGTCACTACACCACCCCCTGCCCAGTAAGAGTTATGCTGCAAAACTGCTCCAGTGGTACCTCCCTTTTTTCCAGTGACTCCGCCTCCAGACTCCGCCTTCAAAGCCCGCCTTCCAGCCAAAAGCGATGCTACCGGACAAGTAGCATGAATGGATGCTACATTGCGTCTTCGGGGTGGACAGTAGCATGAAGGGGATGCCACATTGCGTCTTCGGGGTTACAGGGTTCATTACAAGGAGTCAGCAATCTGGAGTTGCCCTAACCGTTTTTTTTGGCTTGTCGTGCAATTGTATGTGTCGTGGCCAGGTGCGGACAAGATGTTAGCATTGGCAGGGTGCACCTGACTCAGGGATGTTAGCATTGGCAGGGTGCACCTGGGTCACGCCAGAACGCGGGGTTATAAGGGCCCGCACCCTCCTACAAGGGGAGTCGCGCCGTTGAATGCTCCCGAAAGACCTGCCACGGGCTGGATAGGGCCTGCCCCTTGCTATGTGGAAGATAAACTTGAGGCGGTGTATTACCCACCAAGTCTACACTAACATGACACTAGTAACATCAACATCTTCATGTAGAAAAACGGTTAAATGGAAACATTCAACAAAATCATTACAGTCAAAGAACAGCACACATGGTCAACAAATAATGAATGGCAAATCAATACTAATGTTTAGGAATGAATAAGACAAATGCATGCATGCGGATGATGGAAGAGGAGAGAAGTAGTAGAATCGAATGATAATAGTGTTGGACAAAGACCATGGATCGAAGTTAGAATGGGACAAGGAATGGCGGCGCTGGTCCACCGGTTGCACGACCGCTCATGATGAGCGCAGGACGACGACTGATTTAAAAGTGATGACAATAGTACTGTGTGCGCGGTTCCCCGCGAATCATGCTTTTCGTAGTAGGACCGACGACAGTGCAACCCGAGCGCGGTTTCCTACCGGCGCCCCATTGCCCCTTCCCCCCAGGGACGGTCGTGCGCCAGTCACGACAGTCTGAGGCTGAAAAGGTCTTTTAGAGAGTGTTTCCGAGGACCACTTTGGTATTTTCTCCTCACGGATGGGTTACGCGGCAACTTCTCATCGCCAACACCTACGCTCCTTATCCCAATGCCCAGTGCCTACAATCATGACTTTTATTTCTTGGGGATTGTGGTTTACCAGATGAGGGTGAGCTCACGTTTTCTCAGCCCAGTCCAATAAGATGCTAGGCTACCCCCTTATCGCTCTTCGTACAAACTTCAGGGGCGTTCCCAAGCAGTGATACAATCAGACTAATCCAATAAACAAAAGCTTTCGCCTGATTCCACGCTTGTCTCCAGGATATTCTACTCGAAAAGAAAACGGACGTGCTTGCTAGATTGAGGGGCCTACTCTAGGGTCACAATATGCGACCCTTATCAGAAATGGCCACGTTCAATATTGCCGCAGCCATTCGCCCATTTCAAGCATATCGTTCACTTGCTGCTTTCAATTTCTGGCCATTCTGAACAATGCTTGTCTCCATTTTCATGAGTTCTGTTTTGAAACTTATCGCGCATGTTCTCTAAGAGAGTGCCATGTTCATCTTACGAGAAATTTCCAGTTCTAGAAAATTCTTCGGAAGCGAAATGTTCACCATGAAATGCAGCACGAATTGGAAGCAATTGAGTTTGATCTCCCAAAAAAGCCATAAAACCCTGAAAATCATTACTTCCTCACCTAAGGGATCTGATCCAGTATTCTCCGCAATCGGAGGTAGCATCCACTGTGTGCGAACATTTTCTAAACCTGGCAGAAGTGACCCAATTCAGGGTTACAGGGAACATGCGAACTACCACCTCAGTGAAAGAGCACCTTCTTTCCGGAAATATTGATCCCCTTCCCAATTCGTTATGAAGTGAGCCAGTCGAGGCGTGCACACATTACGTCGGTTTGGCGCGACGCCAGCTCCTTTATCGATGCTTATTGAACGCCCAAAGTAGCAACGTGTTCAGCTGGAATGAGCGGTCGCGTGGCATCATAACCGAATTCACGGCGCTGAGAGAACGCTTGGAATGAGGTCAGTGATAACGACTGTGTGAGCCCATCGAGTTCCCTGTGTTCAACCCTTCCTCCAGCTCACCAAACACCAGCTTGGAGCAGATTGCAACAATCAAACCCTCAAACCACTAAGGGATCTTTGCCTTTGAGAAAGAATTTTCGTTAACGTTATTCGGGTTTTCCTATTCGGAGTGCGTCTTACCTCCACCCCTTCTCCGCCTTCCTTTCCCACTCGACCAATTTTTCGGGGGAAAACTGGTCATCTTCGGAAAGAAAAAAAACTGGAAAAAGGAATCTTGGCAGATGGTAGGTAGCATGGCGAAGGAGGAAGGGGCAGCGCGTAGCAGAGGAGGAAATCCTGACAGGGGTGTGGCAATGTTGCAAAATTATTGCTCAACGGCAGGACGCGCTCTGCCCGAACCAGCGCAATACCCCCTGTCGCAGTCTCAGCGAGACATTCATAACCTTGCCTGGGAAGCTTAATTGCTTAGTCTTTTTTTTACGCATAGTCATAGGTCAGTCATGTTCTTCTATGAAAATGCTACACACCATGAGTCGCTTTCCGTGAGTGGCCTGCCAAATGTCCCTTGATCTCCAGTCTATGTAGCAACTGTTTCATGCACCCATCAGCTGTCACCAGACATCCCATCCGCCCGTCACAACAATCGAGCTGAAAATGGCAAATGACCGTGAGTTCATTTTTAGTGCTAACTTTTGTAAAAAAAACTTGAATTTAGTGCAAACTTCTTTCAAAAATGACTTTTTCAGAAGTACGTCATATCCTCGAGCCATGCCTTACAAGAATATGTCAAAACATTCAATGCGGGGGATTTCGATCGGATGGCTGATTTCTATCATAAAAACTCGGTGATGGTTGAAAAAGACAAAAGTGTTCTGTTTGGAAAGAAAGGTATGTGAAACCGCTGATGAAACATAGGAATTCCTAAACCCTTTGAAGAACTCCTCATTGCTGGATTGGCTTAACAAATATATGATGCATATAATAATCTTTGACTGTTTTGCCAGTTTTTAGATATAGTGGCGTCACTTCTTCAAATGGCAACGGATCTAGGAAAAACGAGAATGGAGGTATTCGTTCCCTGCTTTTTTGAAAAGAAATCCGCAATTTGGATACGTCCAAGAAAGGGGAACCGCTCACGCTAGGAAAAAACCACGTAGTTTTCCACTCTATCATCTGTGGATCCTGATCCATGGTGAAGCATCCGTTGAGAAGTCCTCAATAGGGATCGC